GTGCTCCCTCTGTAGGCTCTAGCTGAATTCTGCCCCATGCTGCTTTCTGCTGTGACAGGCAGCACTGAGTTTTACTGCAAACTCTCACAATCACTGCACTCTCCCTTCTGTAAGCACATGGATTTTCTCTCTGCCAAGCTGCACTGCCAGGGAATGGAGGAGGGCTGCTGTTGGCAATTAATGGCTTTCTTTTTTACCCTCTTCAGTGCCTCTTTGATGCTAAAACTAGGTCCTGTGATCACTCCCCAGAGTTTTTGCTCTTATGAAGATGCTTCTTATTGGGATAGTCATTCTATTTGGTGTTTTATCTGGGGGATGATTGCTGGAGGATGTTTTTTAGTCATCTTGCTCCACTTCCCCTGTAGCCATGTTGTTTGAATTAAGTGCCACATATGAGGCTAAGGTGAGCCCAGGGTCAACCATGAGTGCTTTCAGATACATTCACAAGAGGTGAGTTTAGCTTTAGTTCCAAATGAAGATCATAGAGACTACTCTGCTTGGGTTTGGTAGGGGCAGGTCAGTGCGGCCCATATTCCCATTGCTGCAGTAGAAATTGCTGGCATCTATGGCAGAGAAGGGCAACTGATTGTTGAAAAGGGGAAACTCACATTTTGGTTTTTATGTAGGACTTTACTGGTTCTGATACTCTCTTGTGGTAAAGGACAAAGGCAGACTTTATCTGCAATTCTAGGTCCTTCTGCCTGTGGGTGTGGTTGCTTCGGGGGAAGGAGTTTTGCTCATGCTTCAAAGGCATATTCTCAAGAAACAGGTGTAATTTGTGCAGATAATCACACCTGGGAAGGGATCACAGAGAAGGAGAAAAGGAAAGAAATGGCTTATTCTGAGGTGCATGTGTCTCAGGTCAGAGACTGTGTCCACTTTTTCTCTGAAATATTATGTGTGTAGAACTTGCAAATGTTTACTTCTCTACTATCGGGGGAACCCGCCCCCAATATTTCAACATAGGTTCCTTCTATTTTCCATAAGTGTCAGCCAGCTGAGAAATAAAGAGAAAGAGTACAAAGAGAGGAATTTTACAGCTGGGCGATCGGGGTTGACATCACATATCAGTAGGACTGATACCCACCTGAGTCTCAGACCAGCAAGTTTTTATTAAGGGTTTCAAAAGGGGAGGGGGTATAAAACAGGGACTAGGTACAAAGATCACATGCTTCAAAAGGCAAAAAGCAGAAAAAAGATCAGCTGCTTCTGAGGGAACAGGACAAAAGGCAAAACAGAACTACTGATAAGGGTCTAGGTTCAGCTGTGCACGTGTTGTCTTGATAAACAACAGAAAACAGGGTTGGAGAACAGAGAACCGGTCTGACCACAAATTTACCAGGGTGGAGTTTTTCCCTACCCTAATAAACCTGAGGGTTCTACAGGAGACTAGGGTGTATCTCAGTCCTTATCTCAAACACATAAGACAGACACTCCCAGAGCTGCCGTTTATAGACCTTCCCCCAGGAATGCATTCCTTTCCCAGGGTATTAATATTAATATTCCTTGCTAGGAAAAGAATTTAGCGATACCTCCTACTTGCACGTCCGTTTATAGGCTCTGTGCAAGAAGAAAAATATGGCTCTTTTTGCTGCACCCTGCAGGCAGTCAGATCGTATGGTTGTCTTCCTTTTTCCCTAAAAATTGCTGTTATTCTGTTCTTTTTCAAGGTGCACTGATTTCATATTGTTCAAACACACATGTTTTACAATCAATTTGTACAGTTAACACAATTATCACAATGGTCCTGAGGTGACATACATTCTCAGCTTACGAAGATAACAGGATTAAGAGGTTAAAGACAGGCATAAGAAATTACAAAAGTATTATTTGGGAACTGATAAATGTCCATGAAGTTTTCACAATTCATGTTCCTCTGCCGCGACTCCAGCTGGTCCCACTGTTCGGGATCCCTGACTTCCCGCAACACTCTACTTGTGATGTTTTGCCTTATCATTTTAACTCCTTTTTCACTTTTTATTCTCATGATAGTCAAGGGACTCTGAGAAATACTTTTTCCTTATATACCCGAGTCTTCTCCTTATTCTCTACATCCCAGCTTTTAATAAACCATGAAAATATTGTCACCATGAATTTATACCGGCAACATTACAAATGTTTCTTTTGTGGCTGTCGAACATGGAAAGGTGTGGAGGCCCAAGATTCTTGTTTGAGATGGGATCAGGTCCTTGGTTATTAGTGAAGAAGGAGACCATGTACTGTTTAGCTTCCATTAAATCTAAGCAAAACTGCTTATAAAAATGCACATTTAACGAGAATGGTCTTTATTGCCCAGGATAACTCAGAAAGTTCTGAATAAAAAACAGAAGAGACTTCCTCTCTAGGATGCTAAAACAAGGAAATACAAGAGAACACAAACAAATGGAAAAGAAATTCCATGCTCATGGATAGGAAGAATCAATATCATGAAAATGGCAAGACTGCCCAAAGTAATTTATAGATTCAATGCTATTCCCATCAGGCTACCATTGATTTTCTTCACAGAATTAGAAAAAAAACTTTAAATTTCATATGGAACCAAAAAAGAGCCCATATAGCCAACACAATTCTAAGCAAAAAGAACAAAGCTGGAAGCATCACACTACCTTACTTCAAACTATACTACAAGGCTACAGTAACCAAAACAGCATGGTACTGGTACCAAAACAGATATCTAGACCAATGGAACAGAACAGAAGCCTCAGAAATAACACCACACATATACAACCATCTTATCTTCAACAAACCTGACAAAAATAAGCAATGGGGAATGGATTCCCTACTTATAAATGGTGCTTGGAAAACTGACTAGTCATATGCAGAAAACAGAAACTGGACCCCCACTTCCTTACACCTTATACAAAAATTAACTCAAGATGGATTAAAGAGTTAAATGTAAAACCTATGAAACTGTGAAAACCCTAGAAGAAAACCTAGGCAGTACTGTTTAGGACATAGGCACAGGCAAAGACTTCATGACTAAAACACCAAAAGCAATGGCAACAAAAGCCAAAATTGACAAATGGGATATAATTAAACTAAAGAGCTTCCACATAGCAAAAGAAACTTTCATCAGAATGAACAGGCAGCCTACAGAATGGGAGAAAATTTTTGCAATCTATCCATCTGACAAAGGGCAAATACCCAGAATCTACAAGGAACTTAAACAAATTTACAAGAAAAAAGCAACCCCATCAAAAAGTGGGCGAAGGATGTGAACAGACACTTCTCAAAAGAAGACATTTATGCGGCCAAGAAACAAAAAAAAGTTCATCATCACTGGTCATTAAAGGAATGCAAATCAAAACCACAATGAGATACTATCTCACAACAGTTAGAATGGCGAGCATTAAAAAGTCAGGAAACAGATACTGGCGAGGATGTGGAGAAATAGGAACGCTTTTACACTGTTGGTGGGAGTGTAAATTAGTTCAACCATTGTGGAAGACAGTGTGGTGACTCCTCAAGGATCTAGAACCAGAAATACCATTTGACCCAGCAATCTTATTACTGAGTATATGCCCAAAGGATTATAAATCATTCTATGAAGACACATGCACACGTATGTTTATTGTAGCACTATTTACAATAGCAAAGACTTGCAACCAACCCAAATGCCCATCAATGATAGACTGGATAAAGAAAATGTGGCACATATACACCATGCAATACTCTGCAGCCATAAAAAAGAATGAGTTCGTGCCCTTTGCCGGGATGTGGATGAAGCTGGAAACCATCATTCTCAGCAAACTAACAAACTTACAGGAACAGAAAACCAAACACGGCGTGTTCTCACTCATAAGTAGGATTTGAACAATGAAAACACATGAACACAGGGAGGGAAACATCACACACCAGAGCCTGTTAGCAGATGGGGGAAAGGGGAGGGAGAGCATTAGGACAAATACCTAATGCATGTTAATGCATGTGGGGCTTAAAACCTAGATGATGGGTTGATAGGAGCAGCAATCCACCATGACACATGTATACCTATGTAACAAACCTGCACGTTCTGCACATGTATCGCAGAACTTAAAGTTTAAAAAAAAAAAAAAAGTTTAACCAAAAATTAGAGATTACAGAACATGGGAGATATTTGTAGCTTAAATTTTGCTTAAAACTGGCGTTTCTTCATGACTAGACTCATATTAAGTTGACCCTTTTTGTGTTAATGTTAATAATAGCACAGTAGTCTTGTATCCTTTGTTAATCAGCACCTGATACAAATTTCTTTTAATATAGTTGATCTTTATTTACTTGGTAAATATGCTCTCTGACAGATATTTTTCACTTGAGTTAATTATTTTTCTCTTTATTATTGATAGGTACCTTGGGGAGTTTTATCAAGTGATATGCAAGAACAAGATTAAACCATATTTAATCTGATAGCTCTTCTTTCTTCTTACCTTCTCTTTGCATATAGCTTGCTATGGAAAATGAAGGCTCTCATCTCTCTTTACTGGTCAAATAAACTCAAAACCTAGGCTGTGCCACTTACTGAATTTTTGACAAAATATTCTTGGGCTAGAAGCAGTAATATCACTGGCAAACTTCTTAGAAATTTGGAAACTCAAGCTTTACCCTAGATCTTCAGAGTCAAAATCTAGGTTTTAACAAGATCTCCTGTTCATTGCTGTACACAATAAGATTTGAGAAGTATGCTTTTACTTCACCATGAAGTTTCCATATGGGAACTATAGACAGCTTAACTTGCATTATGTAAATACAGCATTAAGAAATGTACATGCCTGTGTTAATGTCCTTTATTTTATACAGTATCACCAAGAAAAGTATTGCACATACACTGGTTTCATGATCTTATTCCATCTTTTCTCAGAGGTAAAAATACAGTAGAGAATATTTCTGTGCTAGAAAGTATCCTGTTGAATAACTCCAGTAACTCATATAAGTCAGAACCAGCTCTCTTTACTCTCATTTTACCTGATGTCAAATCAAGAATTCTTTCTATGGTCACTTGGTAAATATGTTTTGTTTTCCAGGGAGTGTTGACATTCAGGGATGTGGCCATAGAATTCTCCCCAGAAGAGTGGGAATGCCTGGACTCTGCTCAGCAGTGTTTGTATAGGGATGTGATGTTAGAGAACTACAGAAACCTGGTCTCTTTGGGTGAGAATAACTTCAATATACAACTCATATTCTACATTAAATATTTTATTTTCTTCTGGTTTTTTTTTTTTTTGAGGTTCTGCTTTGCATATATAAGTTTCAGAATCCTGCTTCAAAAAGAAAAAATTGGGTATCTGTTGAGGTAGAAAATGTAATCTTCAAGATGTTTCATCTTAACATTAATCTTTCCCTTTTTTGAGCTCATCTGTATACTTCAGTCTAAATTAGTGGTAATATCAGAAATTTAATAGCATAAAATATTGTTACCCACACTTAAAAATGCAATTTTCACAACTGACTTTTGATTCAGTATTACTGGGCAATAGAGCTAAGAAGCACAAATTTAAAATACTTTCTAAATATTCTAAAGTCTCTGTTAGGAAACAGTATATTTAAATTAATTTTCTAGAGTCTTCTATAATGTTCTTTCTTCTCTACTGAGCACAGTACTAGATTGGTAATCAGATTATCCTAGCAAGAGTCATGTTATTTTTTTCTATTAAAACAGGTCTTGCTATCTTTAAGCCAGACTTGATGACCTGTCTGGAGCAAAGAAAAGAGCCCTGGAAAGTGAAGAGACAGGAAGCAGTAGTCAAACATCCAGGTAGGTGGGAGTAAATGAAGCAAATGACACAAATGACGGAACCCAATGTCAAGGAGGAAGCCAGACCTTTAAACATGCTTCCAGAAACTCTGCTCCAGTGGAAATAGTTTCTGAGAAGCCTTCATTTCTTTCTCTTGCTTTAACATAGGGACATTTTTTGTCCCATTCTTATGAATTTTCCAAGCACTGTACTTCCTCTTCAGTAGTGTGTGTGTGTGTGTGTGTGTGTGTGTGTTGTTTTGTTTTTGTTTTTAGTTTACAGTAATGAAAGTCTTTCATGGCTTAAAAGAAAATGGGTGATTTGACTGCTTTTCCATTGCTTTGGGGAAACAGCAATATCTGTATTTTTGAGAAACTCTATATTAAACCATTTTTTAAGTTCTCTTTTTGGATAATGTCTAAATATATAAGTTTTGGTGATAATTGCAGTTTGGATCAGAAATCCCAGGAACACCATAAAAAGATGTATGCTTGCTGGTTTATAATTTTCTATTCTGTGGAGGCTTCAAATGTGATTTTATGGAAATGTATACTCAGTAATTATATCAAAACACTAAGCATCTCCCTAAAGGAAACAAACTCTAAAATTGTGTTACGTCAAAATGTTATTCTTATAAAAACAAATGTTGGTAAATATGGCCAAATTCCTCACCTGTATGTAATGTAGTTCAATGTATCTGCTTCAGACATTTATTAAATATACTATGTCACTGGGGAGCTTAAAACATTGCTGAGTATATATATATATATTTTTTGAGATGGAGTTTTGCTCTTGTTTCTCGGGCTGGAGTGTAATGGCGCAATCTCGGCTCACTGCAACCTCCGCCTCCCAGGTTCAAGCGATTCTTCTGCCTCAGCCTCCCTAGTAGCTGGGATTACAGGCATGTGCCACCACACCCGGAGAATTTTGTATTTTTAGTAGAGACGGGGTTTCTCTATGTTGGTCAGGCTGGTCTTGAACTCCCAGCCTCAGGTGATCTGCCTGTCTCGGCCTCCCAAAGTGCTGGGATTACAGGCATGAGCCACTGCGTCTGGCGTGCCAAGTACATATTAAACTTCAATTTTAACTTGAGTTTTAATTTTAAATGACATCATTTTGTGATTTTATTTAGTATAAGGCTTACTGTGATTGTGTCATTCTTATGTATATATATAAACACATTTATATATGCATGTGTATGACACACACACATATAATCCCAGTAACGTGAATTTTTTTCACAAATAATTGAATACCTATGTATTATATACAATGTATTGATTTTATATCTGTATACATAATGAAATGATTAATACAGTTAAATTAATGAAAAAGCACATTTATGACCTTACGAGTTACCTTTTTTGTAGTGAGAACAATTAAGATCTCTCAGCATGTTTTCAGCATACATAACAGTATTACTTTTAGTATTCATAAAGCTGTACCTTAGGTTACCATAACTTCTTTGTCCTTTACCTGAAAATTTGTACCATTTGAACAACATACCCCCCTTTCTTCACCTCCAGGGCCTAGCACTCACCTCTGTATTCTCTTCTCTTGGGAGTCCAACCTTATTATATTCTCCATAGAAGTGAGATCATACAGTATTTGTCTTTCTGTTTCTGTGATGTTTCACTTGGCATAACGTCATCTAGGTCCATCCGTGTTGTAGAAATGGCAGGGTTTTATTATTTTTTATGGCTGAATAATATTCTATTTTGTATATATACTATGGGTTTTTTTTGTGCAGTCAGTGTCCACAAACACTTGAGATTGCTTTCATATCTTGACAATTGTGAAAAATGTTTCAGTGAACGTGGAGGTGCAGGTATTTCTTTGAGATAGTAAATTTATTGTATATGCAGAAATGAGATAGCTGAATTGTATAGTAGTACTATTAAATATTTTTTAAAAGAACCTACATACTGGTTTTCATAATGTCTCTAAAAAATTACACATCATCATGAAGGTAAAGCATTTCTTTTCTTTAATATATTCTTGTCAACACTTGTTATAAATCTTCTTTTTGATATTAGCAATCCTGACAGATATAAAGTAGTATCTCACCATGAATTTAATTTGCATCTGCCAGATTGGTGACATTGAGCACCTTTCTATATATATGTTGCCCAATTGTATGTTTTCATTAGTAAACATTTATTTAGTCCTTGGCTTATTTTTAAATCTTGTTATTATTACTATTATAGTTGTTGCCTTTTATTTGCATGAGTTTCTTATATATTTTTGATACTAACCACTTATCAGATGTGGTTTTCTTATTCTGTTTTTCCTTGGTTCTGCAGAAGTGTTTTAATTTGATCAGTTTAATTTGTTTATATTTGCTTTTATTGCTGTACTTTTGCTGTTGTATCCAAAAATTCACTTCAAGACCAATATTAAGGTTTCTTCATATGTTTTCTTTTAAGATTATTAAGAATTTTGTCATACATTAGAGTCCTTATTTTATATTTAGTCAGTTTTTAAATATAGTGTGAGAAAAGTGGTGTAATTTTATTCTTTTACTTGTGGATATTCAGTTTTCCCAGCCCCAAGCATGGAAGAGACTGTACTTTCAGCATTCTCAGTGGTTCAGTGTCAAAGATAAGTTGATCTTACATGAGTGGATTTGTTTCTGGGCTCTCCATTCTGCTCCACTGATACCGGTGTGCATTTTTATGCACAGATCATGCTGTTTTTATTACAATAGTCTTCAAATGTAGTTTAAAATCAGAAAGTATCATGCCCCTAGCTTTGTTTTTAATCCTCAAAACTGCTTTGGCTATTCAATGTTTTTTGTAATTCCATATAAATTTTAACATTAAAATTTTGAAAAATTTTACTAGAATTTTAATAGGGTATTTATTGAATCTAAATTTTCCAATTCTTTAGACTAATTTCAGCAGGTACAAATCTTCTCTTGGGTCAATTAGCTGATAGAATCTTTTTGGGTATGCAGTGCAGAGGGGTTACACGTGGGTCACATGGCTACTTCTTGTTCTGTTGTGGAGTTTGCCTTTAGTGGGTTTGTTACCAGGAGCCTGGGTAGTTGTTAATCCTCTCTTATTTCTTGGCAGACTGAATTGCCTTCAGGACTTTGATCTGCAGGGCCAGCACTGGGGCAGTGTTCTGCAGTACAGTTGGTATACGGTGTGCCTGATGTGTGTTTTTTACTGAGTATGTGGCAGGATTTCCCCAAGTAACACTTTGAGTACCTAGGTTGGCAGAACTTGCCACAAACTGTGACTATCAGTGCTGAAACTGAGTCACTGAACTGTTTCAGAGAGCACAGTAAAGGCCGAAGTCTGCAGACCTACTGCTATAACCACAAATAGGCATCTTTCTCTGGGTCTCTGATGTGCAGAACCACTCCTAGGCTATGGCTGGAAGGAGCTGGAGATGATTATGGAGTCACTACAGAATTTTAAGTCAAGTCAAAATAGGTGAACCATTTCTTGGCCTGTAGCCAAAGACCAAGGGTTTTCAAGTTTTTCACCTATATGAGGGCCTGCCTTTTCAAAATGACTCCAGTCAATCTTTAGTTCTAGCAGGTCTTAAAACCCTCTCCCTGAAAAACAAAATTATTATAAAGGTCTCTTCTTTGAGAAGGGGTCTCACTATATCACCCAGGCTGGTCTCAAACTCCTGGCCAAAAATGCTTCTTCTTCTGCCTCAGCCTACAAAGTTGCTGGGATTACAGGTGTGAACCACCATGTCTGTCAACATAATGGATTCCATGTTGTATTTCTTATAAGACTGTTTTAGGGGTAATGAACACGCTTACCTTTGGTTCATATTAGAAAGTCTTTATTTTTGTCTTATGTTTTAAGTAAATTTCTCCCAGATTAAGTATCCTTGGTTGGTAGCAGATTTTTTTCTTCACTTTGAAATTTAGGAAGTTTTAATGAGTCCCTTTTTTCTTCAAATCACCTCTCTACCACTTTCCCTTGCATTCTTCTTCAAAGACTCCTTTCATGAATATATTGGTCTCCTTAATCGTATCTAATAAGTCACATATTCCATGTTGATGTTTTTCAAGTTTTTTTATTTTATTTTTTTCATGACTCTATAAATAACATGTCTTTAGTTTTCTGATTTTCGTTTTCTGATCATTAATTCTGTTGTGGCTTTACAAAATTTTTCAACAATTATTATTTCCCTGTTCCCCACAAATTTCTTTTTTTAATATTTTTATTTTATTCTTATTTTATTTTATTTTACTTTTTTTTGAGAGCAGAGTCCTCGCTGTGGTGGGCCCAGGCTGGAGTGGCAGCGTGGCCTGATCCTCCCGGGCCTCAACTGGCAGGCTTCCACCTCCCCGGAGTTCACCGCCATTCTCCATGGCCGGCCTCAGCGCCTCTGAGCTAAGCTGGGACTCACACAGGCCGCCGCCACCCAACGCGCCCCGCGCTAAGTTTTTTTGTTTCTTTAGAACGAGACGGGGTTTCACCATGTTACGGCCAGGATGGTCCTGCGACTCCTGACCTCGCTGATCCACCCGCCTGGCCTCATCCCAAAAAGTGCTGGGATTCAACAGAGCTCACGAGGCCACTGCGGCCCCGGCCTTTTAAATATTTTTATTCTTTTTATTATTTATACTTTAAGTTCTAGGGTACAATGTGCACACGTGCAGATTTGTTAACATAACTGTATACCCATGTGCCTCCATGTGGTGGGCTGGGCACCGCCATTAACTCGTCCATTTACCCATTAGTTAATCTGCCTAAATGCTATCCCCTCCCCACTCTGCCTCCCCCACATCCATGATAGGCCCGGTGTGTGATGTTCCCTTTCCTGTGTCCAATGTGATCATCATTGTTCAGTTTCACCTACATGAGTGAGAACATGCGTGCTTTTGGTCCGCTTTGCTCGTTCTTGCGATAGTTTGCTGAGAATGGTGGTTTCCAACTGCATCCATGTCCCTACAAAGGACACGAATTCCTCCTTTTTTATGACTGCATCGTATTCCACAGTGTATATTTGCCACATTTTCTTGATCCAGTCTGTCACTGATGGACATTTG